ATATATTATACTATATATATATATATATATATATATATATATATATATATATATATATATATATATATATATATATATATATATATATATATATATATATATATATATATATATTAGTTGTGTAATTGTACACTCTGTAATATGTTAAGATGAAAATGTTCTAGACAACATCTTTCTGCTTGCGCTGGGTATGGAAATTATATAATACACAATCTAGAACATTTTCATCTTAATATATATATATATATATATATATATATATATATATATATATATATATATATATATATATATATATATATATATATATAGATGACAAAATACAATATTCGTATCAGCCAGTTCGACATTTATATACAACAGAATAGCTGGCTACGATCCGAGAGAAACCAATACTAAAAATGTACTAAAGTAATAAAGTTTTAATTTTCGACTGAATGTCTCAGCCTTCCTCAGAAATAATATTACTAATAATTTCTAACGTATATATATATACACCAATAATATGCAAATATTACAATAATGATAACTAATTAAGCTTAGTGATAGACAAAGAAGTCACTGTTGCACAAAATCATGACTATCATTTAACCCTCCCCGATTAGTCAAAAGGGTCCCAATCCAGAAGTTTTCACATTCCAACAGATTACCACAACGCTGATCAATCAGCATAAATTGCAAATATGAATGATCAGCCCCGTGGCAATCCAGGAAGTGATTAACAATACTACAAGTTCTGTGCCCACGCTTAATGTGTGACTTGTAGTTTGCAAGGCGGGCCTTAAAATTAACAGTAGAACCAACACCCTGCAAACCACAAGCCAAACATTCGGCAAGATATACCACTGCCTTGGACGTACATGTAAGCGATTTACAGATTTTAAAAACTTTCTTTGTAATAACGGAACGAAAAGTGTGCCCTTCTAACAAAAAATTCTTACAGCAGTCACAACGCTTTGCTGTACAATTAAAACAACCGAATTGTTCTACTTCAGTATTTTTTTTGCCATATGGGTTGGAGGGAGCCAATAACTCCTTTAGATTGGCGTTGCGCTTAAAAGACACACGAATAACCTTCTCGGGTAGAATATCTCTGGCCTTCTCATCACCACAGATAATGGACTTGTGATGTTTATTTATGATTTTTCGTATGTCTGGTCCACGCGGATTATACTTAGTAACTAAACAACAATATCCTTCATTGGACTTATTCTTACTTTTGCGTGCATCTTCCCTAGAAATTTTACCTACTTCCCTAAATTTATCTAAGACATGTTCTTTTTCGTGTCCGCATTCAATTAAATAATTGGCATATTCCACACTTTTGGCACGAAAGTCCTCTTCCTTGGAGCATATCCTACGTAGTCTAAGCGCTACACCCTTTGCGATACCCAGTATCTGTGATCTGGGGTGACACGAATTGCCATTCAGATATAAATGCGCATCAGTGGGTTTACTATAAACCGACGTTTCCAAACGACCTTCTTCGATATATATATATATATATATATATATATATATATATATATATATATATATATATATATATATATATATATATATATATATATATATATATATATATATATATATATATATATATATATAAATTCGCGGAGATATTAATGTTTAAAATCGGGAGCATATTTCTGGATGTGTATGAAATATGCAAAAAACGGGGTATCAAAATAATATTAATCAAGATTTGCCCGACTGAAACATGCACTATTACCAGTAAATAAATGACACTTGACAAATTGTTTATTATGAAACAAAGTATTATTATATCAACAAAATACAAGCAAGATTCATTCGTCCGAAATTCGCGTGTGTTCCTAGCACGAATACGTTTCCTTATTTCATGAGACCACTGCATCGCGAAGGATCGTCATGGATCGTTCGTAGTTCTGAATTAGGGCATGCTGTCACAATGGAATTGTGAAGCTCTTCTAACTTCTGCAATGTTCTGAAATCTTGTTAAGAACACTCAAACTCATTTGCCTTTTCTTAATCTTTTTAAGTTCAGAATAAACTGAGAATGAAACACAATCAAACCATACAACTTCATAAAACATAAAATTAAGCATGCAACTCCCTGGAGACATCCAACATTTTTTGAACAAAACGTAACAAAATAGTAGCGTTGATACTGTGATGTGTTTTTGCAAAAAGCAATATTATTTCCTTCATTGCAGAATAATATTCATCCTGCTCTAACCGAGAAATAATCAACTCTGTTTTGAACCCATGAAAAACATAAAAAATTAGGCTAAGAAAAATTTAAGCGCCTGCCGTGCATGGTCTTTGATGTATCTTATAAATTTGTAAAGTTTGTAAAGACCTATTAAATACTTGCATAATTTCGTACGTTCATATTTCA